CAGCAGGATTTCTGATCTGGTGGAGGATCCCTCTGCTCTTGATCATCAGACAGCTCTCTTGCTTTTGTAGTTGCTGTCCAGAATTGTCTCAGTAAGTGACAGAAGGGAGGAGGTATGCAAAAAGAATGACAATAATCTCTACAGTTCACTGAGCAAGCTGAAAAATACTGTTGCATAGAACAGCTTCTCTTGAAACTGCAGACAGAAGGGTCTGATTATTTTCCATGCAGTATGAATTTTTATTTTTTAATGATTACATAGGTGGAGAAATGGGCAGTTATAGATCATCTTGCAGAAGCTCTGTGGCACAATTCCTTCTGTCACACCTTATAAAGACACCAAGGAGTCTGCCTTCAAGAAAACTGGAGGTGCAGAGTGCCAGCAGCACTGTAAACGCTCTTCTCAGGAGCTCCTGAACACAACCAACGTGCTTCACTTCCAAGCCAATCAATCCCATTTTTTAAGTCCAAACCTTATGCTACTGGAATAGACCAGTATCAGTTAGTACTAAAGTACTGCAAAAATACTGCAGCAGGGTTTGTGCAGAATCCTCCTTCTTCAGGGAATTGGACTAAATCCTGAGACTGTCCATGTTCCCAAGCGTTTTGATACGGATCGCTTGTTATTTTCACAACAAAGAGAAGTCATGGGACTGAAATTAAATATTGGCTAATTTTTATGATTGCGAGATTAGGGAAAACTGCTTCTCACTCTGGTTGTTTGTAGCTCCCTGTTGGAGCATTCTGTCCCATTCTGCTGATGGCAGCCATCTAGAGACACAAAATCTGGCTAAACAGAGCCCTGGCTGGCGGGCCCTGCTTTCTGTGACACTGCTCTGCTTTCTGAACAAATCCCCCTACCACTTTCCCCAAAGCTCATTAAGTGAGACTGGAGAATTAACTTTTTTAGCCAGCTGCTGAACTTTTCATATTTATAAACACTTGAGTCTTTTGCTTATCTAAGAGAAAATGTGTATAGTTTGGAGATGTGCACTTCCCTGCCAATGTGCAATGAGTGGTTCTACACTTCATAGGAAAAAAAGCCTGAAGTTTCCTGTCACAGCTGAGTGTCGATGCCAAGGGCAAAGGTTTCTTGCCTTGCTAATCTACATCTTAACTCATGCACTTAATGTGAAGGTGCCACACGCAAACAGGCCGGGAAGAAGCTCGCTGCAGTGGAGAGCGCCCGCGCTGCTCTGAATGTTATGTTTTAAAAGCCTTTTTAATGTAATATTTGAGGTTATGATAGAAGCCAGGAGGGCCAAAGTAAAACCCTCCAAGTAAATGAGTCCTGTCATTGCTGCCTCGTGCAAAGAGGGTTTGGATGAGGATAGCACGAGTCCTGGTGAGCGCTGGGGGGGTGGGCCCAGGGGGTGCAGGGGAGTTGGAGCCATTTGTTTTAGCCTAGCCTTCGTTTCTGGAACTGTTTAGATGGCATCTAGAATATGGGTCCTGTCTGGAAGCACGGGTCTTGCTGGTGGGCTGTTCAGTTCTCTCGTGTTTGAGCCAGTGACTATGAGCAGTCCCTGCCCGGGGGGTGCTGCCCTGCTGGGGTCCCCTCACCTCTCTGCTTCTGCCCAGGTGCTGCGGGTGCTGTGGCCGGTGAGTGCTCCCAGCGTCCTGGCCTCCAGCTGAGCGACCACCCCGGGGTGAGTGGACAGGGCTGGGGCTGGGGCTTCCAGAGGGGGATTTTTCCTTTTGTGTGTCTTGGGTAACAGTCCATGTTTGCTGCAAGCCTATTTCATGGTGTTGGTGTGGAGGGGATCGTAGCTCTGTTGACCTGAGAGGAAGATGGAGGGTGGTGTTTTGTTCACACCTCGAGCCTGTCGAAGGACTGGTTTTGAACTAATTGTTGTGTTCTGTTTCTTTCAGTGCTTTGGGACTCTTCTTTCACCCTGCAGCTTCATGGTGGAAAACATCGAGGTTCTGCTGTCCTGTCTCTGGTGTCATCTGACTCCAGGGTGACTGGAACGTGCTTCCCACCATGGTCTGATTTCAGAGTTCTCACAAGCCTCATCCTGGTGTTAGGTGACCCCTAGATGCTGGGGCAAGGAAGAAAGCTGTGCTGTTCAAATTGGTATCTGACAGGCTTCCATGTTGGTAATGGTGCTTAATGTAGGAATTTCTTCTTTGGCCTTAGTTTGTAATCAACTAAGAAAATAGTTTTTGTTGAGCAATACCTTATTGCTCTTTAATCACTTGTACAACTGGAAGCTAATACTTCCTCTGTAAGAAAGGAGAGGATGTAAATGGAGCAGATGTTTGGAGTATTGACACTTCCTTCTCAGCTGCAGATGCACCAGATCGTTGGCTTAGATTTTATTTTATAAGCCTTTTTCAAAATATTTGTTAACAGCAAAGTATGGTTCTGCTTTCTTTATTAAAACGTTGCTTCTTAACACACTGAATTTGTTGACTTCTTAAGCGTCTGTTTAATACAGATTATAGTGTGCTGACAAAGATTTGTTTCTTCTGTATCTTACAAGCTTGTGTTATGCAAGGAAGCGATGGTATAAGCTCCTCTGTCTCATGTTATTGGTACTTTAGATTTAATTGTGCATCTTTTGTCTTTCAAATCACTTTGCTGTGAAGAAGAAGATAGTTTCTGAAACTGCCCCAAAAGGTTGTGATACCTGCAAGGGATTCTTTTGGGGAGACCTGAGCTTTCAAGTGTCAGTCCAAAGTACTGCTCTTGGTGTGAAGACTTGAGGAGATCTGAGTCGTGGAGCACTCCTCAAAGGGGTCACTTCCTAGACACACCAGCCACGAGGGTTTGTTTGCTGCAGAGGTGGAAAGATGGCTGTGGGCAGCCAAGTGGCTTGAGGTAATTGGTGTGACCTCCATTTTCACTCTCCCTCATTAGAGAAGATGCTCGATTTTTCACCTTCAGGTCTGTTGCTTGGTGTTGAGGAAGCAGCCAGGTTAGCCAGGCTTTGGGAAAGTGGAAGTGATAAAAATAGCACAGGCCTGTGGGTAAATGCTAATTCTGAGCACATGAAGAGTAGTCCATTATCTTCTGTTTTACAGATAAGCACACATACTTACCCACAATAACTAGGGAGACTTTACATGTTTAATGTTCACTGATCTTTGTGAAGGATTGATGGAAGCTGTGACCTTGATGGGTTCTTTCAAAGGTGGAGTAAATTACTCTAGTTTCTGAACCCTGGTTGGAAGAAGCTGGCTGTAGCCTGTTCTGTCCTTTGAAACAATACCTAAATGAATCAATTCCAGGTCAATTTGAGTTGACCTATAATCTATCTTGGCACGGGAGACTGATTTCTCCCCCTTCCCTGCCAAATGCTTCTTTACCTTGTAAAGAAGTGCTGCGAAGCTGCCTGTGCATCTCCTGTACGTGTGGCTTATTTGTGACTCTGCCTGAGAGGACACAGATGCATTTAGTGGAAATGCCATTGTTAATCTCCACTGAATACTCCCTTTGGCTGGGCTTTAATCCATGTGAAATACTTCAGTTCATTGAGGAGCCCTACAGAAAGGTACTACCAAATTTTTCTGAGTTGCCTAATTACTAGTAGGTAATTATCTCGACTTTGGTTCCAGCTGAATGCGTGTCACTGGGGCTGTTTCTCACTGTGGAATCATTGTGGTGATTAATAGACACGTTGTGTTCATGTAATTTCACTTCTTGGTCCGCAGGGGCCCATAAGGTAACCAACCTAATGCTTTTTAAAGTTGAACATTTTCCAGCATTTGTGTGGGGTTATAAATGAAGCGCTGCCTCCCATGTATCATCCCAAGAGCTGCTTTCTCTCACTGTCCTCCCCTGACAGAGCAGCAACAGAGAGGGGATGGGCTTTTGCTGAAAGTCAGGCTGGCAATGGGCGAGGTAATGAAAATCTTCCTGCATTTATTTACATACCTGATGCTAATAGGTGTATTTGTAAACAAGTGTAATTAGAGTGTCTGATTCATTTGGGCAGGGTTAGAGTTTGGAGTGGCTTTGGCTTGTTGGGTGTTTTTGTCACGCCACGTCATGACAGGTGAGTTTTGATCAGAATGTCCAGGAAGAGGAATGCTGCTTTTCTTCTGCCAGCCTCTCACTTTTCCAGCAGTAATCTCCAAAAAGGACAGGAAGGGACAGGACAGGGGAAGAGTTACCACAGCCACTGGTGCTGCAGGGTTGTCTCCCCCAGACACGGTGACTTGGTACCGTGCAGCTTTCAGGGGATGAAACTTTCTGCTGGCTCTTGGTGCCATTACAGTAATAAACCCCTTAAAGCAGCAGTGGGGCAGTTCAGAGCAATAACTAGTTCTGGGTAACAGGGTCTGCCCAGGGCAACTCGAGTTCACGTGGGCTTGTAAACCACACCAGAACCGTCCTCTGAGGGGTGAGCTCTCCTGAGGTTGTTACCCTGCTGTGAGCCCTTCGTTCTCTGAAGCTGGGGTAGATGAGTGCGTTACTGGCTTTTGTGTGTGGCAGCAAGATGGCTCGTGCCATCAGGAACCCCTCCCCAGGGTTATGTTGACAGGTTCCTGTGGTCACCTCTTACCCCCAGCTGCTGTGCTGGTTCCTGGTCCAGGTCTGTCGTGGGCCAGTTCCCTTCCCGCATCTCCTCCGGCACCGGCCGGGCTTGTTTATTCCCTGCTCCTCGTCCTGGAATTGTTGTGAGGGTGCCAAGCCTCGTAGATCCCTGACTCTGAGCAAGGCAGGGTTTAAAGGTCATAGTCAAGACCATTAATAACAAGGTGCAAACGGCTGGTTTATATGTAATGTGAAGCTTTTTACTTATTTCATTTTTGCACTTTGGGGGCTCTGTTTGCTTATGGAGCACTTGGTGTCTGGTACCTATTTAGGCTGAGAGCAGGCAATTGGGTTCCTTCAGGCCTTCAGAGGAATGCAGAAAATTGTTCTCTGGTGTTGTAATTCTGCTGGGATAACTGGAGCTTATTTGTCTCACTGCTTATTAAATGCATACTTGTCTTGAGGTCCTCTTTTTTTTTTTTTTTTTTTTTTTTTTTCTGGGAAACATTGGGTGAATCCCAAGGACCACAAGTGAGAGGAAGATTCCAGGGGGAGGGGGAGAGTGAAGTGCCTGCACCTCTACAAACTGCATCATCCGCCTCCAGTGCCAGCAGGCTGAAGAGGTTAAACAGGAGAGCAAACTCCCCTGGAGAAAAGGAGACGTACGTACGGGGCTCCTACAGACATAAATTAATTCTGCCCTTCCCCCTGCCCAGGGATGACACACCGAGGGGAGATGCACCTCCCAAACCCCTAATATATGGGGGGTGTGGCCGGGAGCTGCGTGAGGCTCTGCCGAGGCTTCGGAACGGGCCCAGCTGGGGAGCTGGTGGCAGATGTGCTCTGGTGCTGTGTGTGTAGCAGAGGACAGGACTGGCAGCAAGGGCAGCCAGAGCAGATGGGTTTGTACTCCCACCAGCCTCTCAGTAGTTCCCATCTTGCCCTATTCTACTGTGGAGAACAGACAGATTCCTCCCTTCTCCGTTCTGCAGCTCTATGGCTGCAGAGGTGGTGTGCAAGCCATTCCCATCTGCTCTTGGGTCAAAAATCTCTAAACATCAGGTCACACTGACAGCAGCAATCATAGCAGGCTTCTGTGGCCCGAATTCACCTAGCTTTCAATAAAGGTGGAGAGAGAGGAAGGGCAGCTTTGGTTTCCAGCTCTGTCTGTAGTCTCCCGGCTCCCCCCTCCCTTTCTGGAGCCTCTGGAGCGGGGTGTGCTCTGCATGCCCCAGCCCTTAGCAGTGTGGGAAGCAGACGGTGATCAGGGATGCTGCTCATGCACTTGGAATTTTCCTCATTTCTAGCTTCAATTGTTGTATTGTGCTTTCTGGTAGGCCCTTCGGTGAGTCTGGCCATCGGGGAAAGGCAGACAGTACACCCACCCTGATTGCATCAGTGAGGGTGCATCCGCCGAGGAGCATCCTTCTCCACTGGGGATCTTCTTGCTTTGGTTATTTCTGGCCAATGACATTCTCCTTCTACTGTGGATGCGTTGAGCTGTGGAGTCGCACCGTGGACTCATCAGCTCGGACCCTTCTCTTGAGGACCTCTTGATTTCTGTTCTAATTTGGCAGGAGGCTATCATCAGTTGTAAGCAGGAGTGACACATGATGTGACTATTGCATTCTCCTGCATTGACTCATCAGCTGGGACTGCAGAGCAGGAACCCCCTGCTGCTGGCTGGAGCAGCCCTCCCTGACTGCTGCAGTGACCAGGGCTGTGGAAGCTCCTGCAGACCATCCCCAGGGGCAGGGGTGTGGGTCACAGTGCCCCAGCCGGTCTGAGAGCAGGACCTGTTGCAGCAGATGCCCTGAAGGAGCAGGCTGCTGGTGGTGCAGGTACAGGAGCAAACGGGGCCCGTGGCAGCACCAAGGGGTTTTAGGACTGGGGGTGGCTGAGCAGTGGGCACACTCTGCATGGCTGGGGCTCAAAAACAAATCGATCTCATCACTACATCCATGCAGAAGAAACATGCTGGCCCTGGAGCTGAGGCCCTGCTCTCGCTTGCCCGTGACTCAGTAGAGAAAATGCCCTGAATTTGTGGATCCTGTGTTTCCAGTGCCTTCTACCTCCTCCCGTGTGTCCTGTCCAGCTTCTTCAGAGAAGGTAATTTATTCAGAAGCTCATTAAGCAATTAATTCTGCTCCTT